CAGCCCAAAGACCCCTTATGATGTTCCACATAAATGGACCAAGGGCTCCCTCGCCCAGCGCTGGTCCCTGGGGCCCCACTCTGGAGCCAGGCCTGGAGGAGGGGCACGCTGGCGAGTGCCTGGTGGCCAGGGATTCACCCATGGAGCCCAGCTGGGCTCAGCCCCAAAAGGAGACATGGGTCACCCTTTTGATGGGCTCACCACCCATAGGAGGGGCCTAAAGGGGTCGGTGCAGTGTGGTACTGGTGGAAGCCCAAGGTGGACCGATCCTCGCAAACAGAAGCTGGATTTGGGATGTGGAACATCACCTTACTGGTGGGGATGGAGCCAGAGTAGGTGTGCGACGCTGAGATGTTACAGCTAGAAATAACCAGACTCGCCTCGATGCTCAGCTCTGGTTCTGGAACCAGTCTTCTCTATCGGGGTTGGACAGTTTTCTACTCTGGAGTTTGCCTTGGTCAGAGGCGCCGAAACAGGAGTCTTGATTCAGCTTGTGGACTGTACATTGGAGTTCATCCCCCTGAATGAGAGAGTAGCCTCCCTTCGCCTTCAGGTGGGGGGGACGGTGCTGAGTGTTGTTTGTGCTGATGAGCCTAACAACAATTCAGGTTGCCCACCCTGTTTGGAGTCCCTAGAGGGGGTGCTGGAGAGTGACCCTCACACAGACTCCCTTGTTCGGACTTAAATGTTCAAAGGGGAAATCAAAGTAGGACCTGGAGGGGTGTGGTTGGAAGGATTAAAAAACATAAACCTACAAATCTGGAACGCAACTGTGTAATCTACCAAAGTCTGTACATATTAAATCTTATGCAGGTGATAGCAGCTGTGCACCTGACTAGAGAGTTCACTGTGTGACTCAATCCAGCTCCGGTAGTATTTAAGGTCAGTCACTGAACAGGCTGATGGCATGTGGCAGAAAGCTTCTCTCTGTTCCTCAGAGGAGCAGTGAGGTTAGAATGAATTAATCATGAGGATACCTTCAATCAGATCTGGTGGCAGACACCGTCGCAGTGTCTCTATGTCTGCATGTAGCCGGGCCTTCAGGTGAGACATGAGAAAAGGGGTGTAGATTCAGAAACACAGAGGGTTAATTTTTTTTTGTTACACCATATATGTCAGAAAGTGTATCTTTATGATTTTTGGTTTGTGTTTTTATTTTCCCAGTGTTTTGTTAATCCTTTATGATCGTTGCTTTGTTTTTTGTATTTTTTCTTTGTTCATCCTTTGTTTCCATCTTAGTTTTTCTTCCTGGTTTCTGTTTTAGATCCTGTTGGTTCTCAGTCCCTCAGGTCCCTCTTGTTCTGGTCTTCAGCTCCACTTCTTCCTCTTCCTGCCATCTTTTCTGCTGCCATCTCTCTGTAATCACTTCCTCTGTATCTATATGGGCTGGTTATATCATTTTTTTTCAGATCTTTACTGTATGTCAGGGTTATCACTATTGTCTTCTTCTATGGTATTCTCATCCCTGGTTACTAAATTCATGTTTGTGGTTTAGGTTTTGAATCTCTTTTGCATTTTGTTCCATTAGTTAAGTTTAGGCTGTTCTGCTGGGGGGCTCCCATGATGCACCTCTCCTCCCTCTATAGGCCCAGACTGCAGGGGGGCTAATGGAGGTTTGAACGTGGTTCTGACTAACAACAGGAATCGGTTCAGCAGAAATCTTCAGAACTATCTGCTGGTTTCCTTTAAGAGGAATCTGTTTTATTATCACTACGTGGGTTGGACTCGTTTGGAGTTTAACCCTGTAACACCTTATGTGTAATATCTGATGCACACGGTTTCTGAAACCTTTTGCATCATTTAATGGTAAAAACTTTGTTCCAAACGCTCGTGCACACAGTCAGATTGACCTTTTTTAAATTAATTAATAGATAAATGGACTAATCACACAGTAATAAAAATATTGCCCATTTTCTGTTTTTACTTGAATCAGGATTTAAACAGTTAATGGACTTGAACTGACTAGGTTTTAATTTATTACAATAGGTTATATTCTAATTTACTTGGATGGAACATTATCTTCAGAGTGACTGTGATTAAATCTGCTGTGATTTGGAGCGTTATGAATAAATTAGACTTTTGAGGGGTTCTAAAAGGTTTTTGTGGAAAAATGATTAAGTGTGGATTTATGCTCACATTTGGATCCTGTGCAGCTGTTCCATCCTCAGACAGATGACCAGCACCTGCAATGTGGAACTAAATTAAGTGAAATATTTACTGGATACAAATATTTGTTTCATGCATAATTTACAGTGAACAGAAATTCTGGGTTATTGGTTTTTGTGGGTTTTTTCTGATTATTCTGGTTAAAAATGGTAAATGTTATTATTTATGTATTTTATAAAAGTTTCCTTATTTTCTCACTTCCTGTTTGCTCTGTTGATGAAGAAAAGATTTTGTGTGGAGTTTGCATGTTCTATGTGTCTGTGGGTTCTGTTCCTCCCTCATCCAAAAACACAAAATTTTAGTTTAACTGGAGACTCCAGACTGCCCATAGGATTGGATGCGAGTGTGTGGTTGTGAGTCTCTGTGTGTTCCTGTGACGGACTGACCTGACCGGTGTAAACGCAACTTCTTGCCTAGTTTTAGCCTGGACATGCTGCAGCCCCCCTGTGACCCTGCAAGGAATAAACAGTATCAAAACTGGATGGATGGATGTTTGACATTGTTTCCAGTCTATCTCAATTCCTTCTCTTGTCTTTGTGTGTCTTCTTCTGGTTTCCTTCCTATGATTGGCTGTGTTTCTGCTACCTTTACTTTCATCAGTCTTCCTCTCACCAACTCAGTTCCTTTCAGCTGTGCTCCCTGTCACACCCGTTCTGCATCCACTACTCACTCTCTCCCATATTTAAGCTTCCCCCATTCACTCATTCATTTTAAGAGCCTGTTATTAACCATATGTCATCTCAGTGTTCCTGATTCCTTGTGCTTCTGTTTCTATGTTTTGTGGTTGAGTGCAGTTCCCCTTAGTTTTAAGGTTTAGATTTCTGTGAATTTTGTGTATTATGTTCTTTTTGTAACTAAATCTAGCCCGTTAGGTTCCACGCCTGCATTTGGATGCTCCACTCCTCATTATAACCGTCAACCACGACATAAAGGATATAGATACGTCAAATAAGTGATTTTTTAATAAACTATAAAGTTAAATTTTATTCAACATACAGATTACAGTAAATGTCAGTCCTAGGTTTTTGAAAAATAATGTCCAATTCAGGCCAATTAGAAAGCAACTCATTTAGATTCTCAAAATTATCTGTCACGCAACATCTGAGATAATGTTTGCTCCTAAAAACATCACTGAGTTCCAAAGAAATAGATATGCTGAAGGGAGTGCAGACAAAAAATCAATAAAGACCCACCCCAAAAAAACTGTTGCACCCTACAGGAAATAGGAAAGAAGACCTGAAATTAGCAGCAGTCACAGAGAATAAACTCCAGCTGGATAACAAGAAACCCATCCAAAGTACATCCTGAAAGTCCTGACTCTACATGTAGCAGGAATTCCTGAAGGTTGAATAATGTCATGAAGTTATGCTGAGAGAAAATAACACTCATGGACAACCATCAGGATTTTTCCACATTGTGACCAGATAAACTCAAACATTAGACAAAACTCTACTTTATGCAGTTGGCCACCAGAATCCTTTAAGTTTCCCCCACATAGCCACCTGCATTTATCTCTTAGTATCATCACTTGTCTGACATTGAACTCTGTTTCCTTTTTTCTGTTGTGTCTCAAACAGCTGATGGCTCATAGTCGTAAAATAAATCACAAATCATTTCTGGGAATATCTTCTCATAGAATTAATCCTAAACTGATCTTTTATAATTTCTGTAAATAATCAAACAGAGAAAGTCCTACCTGAGTTACCCGTCAGTCAGTTGGTGTAGTGGTTTAGTGTTAAACAGCAGGAAGGTGGAAGAACACCATCATGACATCAGAGATCCTCCCACTTTCAGGTCAGACGACTTCAGAGAAACAAAGCAGTTTGTCCCTTTTGGACTTCAATAACCTTCATGTGTTTGC